AATATGGCATTGGAGGTGGAGTCCCCAGTGTTCGCATAATGTTCTGCGAAAGTGTGGACTGATGTCCATGTTGCCGCTCTACAGACCTCTGAGATAGGGACATTCTTGAAGAAAATGACAGGAGAGGAGATCAACCTTGTGGAATGTGTATGAATAGGGTCTGGAAAGGTCATGTTGTGAATTTGATAACACTGTCTTATGCAATTTGAGATCCACTAAGGGTATGTCTACACTACAAACCTAAGTTGATTTAATATAGGCCGATTTACAGACACTGCATCGCCCTAACTACACTGACATAAGCCTTATGCCTCTCGTGGAGGTGGAGTTATGTTGGTTTAGTAGGGAACTTACATGAGTGGGAGGAAGGCTGTAGTGTAGACACTGACATAAGCTGCCTTATGTTGAGCTAATTATGTGTAGACCAGCCCTTAAAGAGTCTTTGGGCTGATATTGCTGAGCCCTTGGATCTTTCCACAATGGAGAGGAAAAGTCTAGGGGAGCTCCTAAAGACCCTCGTCCTATTAAGGTAGAATGCCCGGGGCTCTCCTGACATCTAAGGCCAGGTCTACACTAACCCCCTAATTCGAACTAAGGTACGCAACTTCAGCTACGTGAATAACGTAGCTGAAGTTCGAAGTACCTTAGTTCGAACTTACCTCGGTCCACACGCGGCAGGCAGGCTCCCCCGTCGACTCCGCGGTACTCCTCTCGTCTAGCTGGAGTACCGCAGTCGACGGCGAGCACTTCCGGGTTCGACTTATCGCGTCCAGACAAGACGCGATAAGTCGAACCCAGAAGTTCGATCGCTCGCCGCTGAACTACCGGGTAAGTGTAGACCTACCTTAAGATATGTAGTGTAGCCTCTGTGTTGTCTTGGTGATGCTTGGGGTAGAAGATTGGAAGGTGAATCAATTCATTCATGTGAAATGGAGAGGTTACCTTAGGGATGAATTTTGAATGCAGCCTGAGAGTAACCTTGTCCATAAAAAATACTGTGTAGGGGGGAGACGCCATCAGAGCTGCTATCTCTCCTATTCTCTTGGCTGAGGTAATCGCTACCAGGAAGGCTGTTTTCATGGATAGGTATGTCAGCAAACAGGTGGCATAGGGTTCAAAGGGAAGCTTTGTCAGACTTTTCAGTTACTAGGTTTAGATCCCACATGGGAGTAGGAAGTAGGGGTTGAAGGAAGAACTTTATTATACCCTTGGGGAACTTTTTAGTGGTTGGGTGTGACAGCACTGAGAAAAAGGTTGTTGAAAAGTTGTTATAGCTGCTAGATGGACCCTAAAATAATCCTTAGGGATAATCCTGACTTTTTAAGAGTCAAAGCATAGTCTAGAATACGTGGAAGAGTTGTGGAAGTTGGGGAGATTTGCTGGACCATTTCTGCAGGTAATTACATCGAGACAAGGACTTTCTACTGTGTAATAGAACCTCCTGCGCCTTCCTTGAACAGGAGCTTTCTAGGTGTTGGAACCAAGCAGGAACCATGCCTTAAGGTGGAGAATCTCCAAGTTGGGATGTAGGGTACGTCATTTGTTCTGTGAGAGGAGGTGTGGAATGGGAGGGAGGGAGATCAGCAGGCATATCGTGAGTTGTGACAGGTAAGAGAACCAGGTCTGTCTCTGAAAGTAGAAGCAATCAGAATGACATGGGCTCCATCCCTTTTCATTTTCAGCAGGACCTTCAACAGTAGGGAAAACAGAGGAAAGGCGTAGAGAAGGTCCTCGTCCCATGGAAGGAGGAGAGCATCGTTCAGGGAGTGCTGTCTCATCCCCCCTCTAGAGCAGTAGAATGGTAAGTGGTGAACAGGTCTGTGGATAATGTTCCCCATTGTCTGAATAGGTCATGAAATACTGTTGGGTCTATATCCCACTCATAGTTGTGTGGGACTTTGTAACTGAGATTTTCTGCTATCGAGTTTTGTGTGCCTGGGAGGTAAGCTGCAGACAGTGTAAGATTGTGGGAGATGCACCAATTCCATAACCTCATCGCCTCCATGCATAGGGAGGGCGTCCTGGCTCCCCGCTGTCGATTGATGTAGTACATACAGCCTATGTTGTCTATTAGGATCTTTGTGTGTGATTCTGTGATGAGTGGAAGGAAATGGATGCAGGCATTCCTGACTACTCTCAGTCTGAGAAGATTGATGTGAAGGGATATCTCCGCAGATGACCACTTGCCTTGCATTGTGAGGCTGTTTAGACCTATGAGTGATGCGTTGGTGGTGAGGAGCAATGACCGTGATGTCTGCGAGAAGGGGATCCTTTTGCAAACATTGGCTGGGTCCTTCCACCAGTCTAAGGAGTTTTTGATCCTGGTGGCCCCATGCCCTAAAGAAGAGTGCCTAACTTAGGCGCCTTTTTCATTTTTATGCTCACCCAGCGGTGGTCCGGATCTTCGGCGGCACATCGGCGGTGGGTCCTTCAGTGCCACGGAAGACCTGGAGTGAATGGAGGACGTGCCGCCGAAGACTCGGACCTCCACCGGGTATTCAAATCGGGCCCCGCACTTACTAAAGCTGGCCCTGTGTGACACTACCTCCTCTGGCTCACTCTCTGAACCCTTTCTAGAGTGTGAAGGGGCATGGCATGGCAGTGGGGGTACTTCTCGTGCTTGGTAGAAGATCGGGGCAGAGGTCTTGGTACCAAAAGGTGAGGATCCAGCATGCAAAGGTCTCTTGAATGGTGGGATTCTGCCCGTCCTGATCATCCCAACGTTGGTGGCAGTGCTGGGGACGGGGGAATGGAGACCTTGTGCACCCTTGTCTCTTAGGTGCCAGGCGAGCTGTCTCTGGCAGTACCAAAGTGGACTCACATACTGGAAGTGTCTTTTTAGAGTGTTTGCTCTTGTCATTAAGTACCAATGATTCAGCGGCCATGTCCATTGGGTCCATGAGCCTGTCAGTGGTACCAGTAGCTGTTGGTCTTCATGAGGCATGGGTGCCAGATTGAGATGGTCTTGGTCCCGGCGATGCTGAAGATATCCGGTGAGATGGTGATTGCTTACAGCTATATCGGGGTTCACTAAGGGACTTCCCACTCTCTTCTTAGATGATTTGTGAGAAGGGTCCACAGCCTGTTTCTTCAACCCACATCCCTTAAGTGTAGAAGGTTGTGGGGAAGACTCATGTCTACCAGGTGACTGGGACCAGAGAGCTGCCTCCATGAAGATGATCTTCTGGTGGAGTTCTGTCTTTGCGAGATCTTGGCCGGAGTTGTTGGCAAAGACCACACTTCTGCTGTATGTGGCCTTTCCTGAGGCAGTGAATGCACTGAGAGTGCTTATCCGCAACCGGGACCATCTCTTTACAGATGTGGCACTTTTTGAAGCCCCACAAACTGGGCATACCCTGTTGAGGGGAAGGGTCCCTGATGGGGGGGGGGGAAGATGGGAAGAAAATAGTCTCTTTTTCTTCTTTTTTTTAAGGGTAAAATAAGAAAGGAGAAGAAAGAAAAAGCTACAGCTGTAACTAGGAGGCTAACTAACTATAAGTATGTAAACCAAGAGAACAATAGTCTTAATGGATTGCTAATGGCTCCATCTCTAGCCACGGGTGGTTGAGAAAGAACTGAGAGAGGTTAGCCAGTGTGCACTGACTAGCCTTGTGGCGCAGCATGAGGAGAGACAGCCCAACGGACACTGCTACCAAAGTTCTCCAATCAGCAGCGCAGGGACACAAGCACATCTACAGTGGAGCACCCATAGGGACACTACTCAAAGAAGAATATCTCTGAGAGGATTCACGTTTAAACACATAAATCATGTTCCCTTGACTGCAAGGCAGAAAACAGAGCATATGAAACAAAGAGGGAATACAGATTTAGTAATGCAGTTTCACTATCTAATAAGACGCTGTTCATGCTATTGGAAAGATTCGTCGCACAAAAAGATAAAATAAAGCTTAAATGAACATTCTTGGAGATGTTTGGGCTCTCTCTCAGCAACTCAAACTTGCTGGAATCTGTATGTGACTCAAAATGAAAGATGGCTTAGAGCTACTCAGTATGAGTTAGGGTGGCAGAATCTGGCCCTGAAGAACATTTTATTTAGTTTGCAGGTAACAAACACTGCTCCACAACAAATTAATGCCTGGATAATTTAAGACCTATTCAGAACAACTCCTTCTTCATTCAAACAACTGGAAAGATGCTAATAGGACTCCTTCACACACCTCCAGATGTTGGAGCAGTTTCAAACACCTGCCTCTCTCTTTTTAAAAAAAAATTCAAACTGTTTGAGAAATGTTTCCTGTCTCTTTTTCAAGTATGTAATTTCCCCTCCTTCCCAACTATAAATAAATAAATAAATCATACCTGTCTGAAGCCCAGGTAGGCAAAATATAGTCCTACAGAGTTACAGCTTTTTTATGCATAAATATTTCACAAATTTAATCTGTTATCTTGTGTCTTACAGATATAGAAGTGGGAGCTTTGTATCATTGGAAAGGGAGATTCCCAGCTCCTCAATCAGATCCAGAACTTACCTTCACCCTGGGACATTCCCAAGAATGGAACTGTAATTGCGGTATACAAAACCTATTTCTGGTCATTTTTAGAGATATTTAAGACTCCTTGTAAACCCTTAACAGTTGAACTCATGGTTACCAAGATATCTGGCTTTACAGGGAAGAGATACAAAAATAGACTCAATAAAAAAATCTTAAAACTCTAAAATATTTCTAAAGTTTTAACACCATTCAGCTGGAATGACCTGCATAACTCACGTATGGCTTTATCACTCAAGAGCAATATGCCTAAGTATTTCATGTTGGTGAATGTCACCGCAGTATCTTAGTAGTGCCATAGCATCTGAGCATGAATTTCAAATTCACGCTGATAAAATCTTTTGCCATGTTACACCATACTATATTAATATATATCCACACATACCATAATATTCTATACATGTACACATTTTATATATATTATTGATTTTCTTAATGGATTTCTATACATTAATTCTCTTTTAGCATGGCTTTTCGATATCTACTTACCTCTCTAGAGTGAATTTCTTTGGCATACAAAGGGAATAAGAATTCTGACTCTCCTTCCAGTCGAAGTCCTTCTTTTGTAACATGTAAATGTCCCATCCCAGTCTGTGGAGAAGATGAAAGAGTAATGTGTGCTTTATTCTTACTGTAATTTTTATTTCCTTTTCATTTGTTAAGTTGGATCATTATAGAATTATATATATTTTTTCTGACTATGTTATTAATGAAGATAACTGCACTATAGGACTTAACAGTTTGGTTAGCACTTCAAAATTCTTCACTGACTTCCAGACAATTCATCTTAGGACATGAGATATTTTTATAACCAGACATCCCAATACCTTTTATTAATAATGTCTTTTGAGGAAAAAAGAAAAAATGTGATGCAAGAAAGAAAGTTCTTAGTGTAATTGATTTTTGGATCTTGAGATACTTCATCAGCAAGAACAGGAAGATGCCTGGGTAGGAAGAAAAAAATAAACTAAATTCAAAAGTGAATATGTATTGCCCATGTTTACACATCTTTTGTGCTTACTTTCCAAAACCATGTGAAGGATTTATTTTTGCATATACTAATACTCACATAGAACAAAACTTTAAGATCCTATGCTTGAGTATTTGCTCTGTTGTTGGTATATTTTATTTGGAATGTGACACTGCTTCACACACAACAGGGGGAGAGACTTTGTGATTTTCTTTTTCATTTTTAATTCTTCTTTTCTCTTCGGTCTCTCTGTGAACACTCCAGCTCTCAGCATCTCTCAGGATTCACATTTCCTTCTCTCTTTGCCAACTCCTTCAGTCATTTCCCCCCTTTTCCCCCATCTCTTAGGTCCTTCCTCATTCTTTGTCATTCCTTTCATCTCAGTTCTCAGCCAAATGAGTCCGTTGGTCCAGGTTCCTCAGTACCCAAGATTGATGGTGGTGGGAGGGATAGCTCAGTGGTTTGAGCATTGGCCTGCTAAACCCAGCATTGTGAGCCCAATCCTTGAGGGGGCCATTTAGGGAACTGGGGTAAAAATCTGTTTGGGGATTGGTCCTGCTTTGAGCAGGGGGTTGGACTAGATGACCTCCTGAGGTCCCTTCCAACCCTGATAGTCTATGATTCTATGATAACAATAGAGCTGAAGGAACCCTGATATTCTATGATTCTATGATAACAATAGAGCTGAAGGGTCAAATGGTGGAAAGCTAAAAGTGATGGAAATATCTCTCTCTCTCTCTCTCTCTACATGATGGTTTACCCTATTATAGGGCCTGAACACCATCATGAATATTCATGTTAAAGCCCAGCATTCCATGCCCAAATCTAATTTTCTCACCCACATAATAATGGGGTACACTTATCCTATAGATTAACATATTAATACATATTAATGGTATTTAACTCATTATCATACCCATCACTTCTTGCTTAAGCAGCTCTGCAGTTATTACTTCCATGTTCCTGCAGTTGCAATTTACCATTAGTTTTCAGTTCCTACCATTGAGCAAGCTATTCCTAGTTCCCAAAATCTGAGGGTAACCATTAGGCCATTTATCTATGCCAAAGGTTGCAGGCCTACTATACTTATGCTAACTTGCTTAAGCTAATGTTTTACAGGATATAGGCCAGTAGGTTCCTTGCATTACAGCTGAATATAATAAAGACTAAGCTAGCTATATGGGTTACAACAGAAAGTAGACATTAAAGGCAAGCAGTCTAGCAGATTCACCGTTTGAGAGCTCTGAGCCAGTCAGAGATCTGGAGGAAAAGGTTATAAATACAGGAACTGGAGGCTCTGGACTCAGTGGCTGATTGACACTGGACAAAGATGTGTCTGTTATGTGGGCTGGGTCCCAATACCTGTATCACTTTGGATACGAGCTACAGATTCTCTGTCTTGCTAGAAAGAAAGGAGACAATCAACTATTAGTTCAAGCACTGGGATTTGCTACTGGCTTCAAGGATCTTCTCAGGGAATATTTATATTGCAGTTACAGTGAGACTGCAGCTCATATAGACATACCCGACCTAGTTTTAATCTAGCTAGCTCAAGTACCAGAGCAATGAAGCCATGGGAGCACAGGCTTTAGCACAGGCTAGCTCCCCAAGTAATTACCCAGGGTTGTGGGCAGGCTTGCACAACCCATGCTGAAATCTGTGTTGTGGAGTCTTCACTGTTACCAGTACCCGAGCTAGATAGATTAGAGCTAGCTCAGGTATGTCTACACAAACTGAATCAGACCCTCTCACTGCAGAGTAGACAAAGCCTCATGGTTTTGCTGAGGAGATTCTGAAGTGCTTGGAGGAGAACTGAGAGGCTGCCATCCTCCTCAGTTTCTGGAGAATCCAGGTGACACGCTCATTTTGAGGCCACATTACTGAGACTGAGAAATCAGCTCAGTGACAATATTAGAGGGGAATGTGTATGAGTGCACTAAGGTAAAAATAGGCATATATTCTGTTGAAACCTTGCACTGAAAAATATGTAAGAGCAACAAAGTGGAGAAGTCTGTATAAAGATACACTGTAAGCCAATGATCGCTACTCACTGGCCAGTATGTCAATAAAGTCCTCACCAGTGGCAGTATTTCAGTCCTTTTCTTTAGCATAGGTTTATTGTCTCTCAAATCAAAACAGTTCACCTAATATCTAAATCGGGTGTGTTTCCTTTTCCCATAGCCACCTGCAGGTCTCTATAGCTCCTAGTGTACCAAAACTTAGGCTTTACTACAGGAGACTCTCACTATAGGTCTCTCCTGTTTCCAGGCTCTTTCCTGACTGAACTGAGAACATTCATTTACATCTCCAAGCAGCCCGTCATATGATTTGGTCTCCTGGCCCCATTCCTACATGGGTCTGATGATAATCTCCCTAAACATCTGTTCCTAAAGGGGCCACACCTCAGAACACCAGTAAGTTTACTGCTTAATAGTTTTGTTTAGAAAGTTATTGAAAAGTATTTCAAATAATGTTTGCAAATATTTGTGTATGTATTACATTTTTGTTCACTAATAAATTATATGGTATGCTCTCTCTGAGGATGATTTACAGCTGTTACCAACACCTATATTCAGGGTTTGATGAGCCATATCTCTGAGGTTTATTCTATGTAATATTTCTTCCCCTCCCCCGCCTGAAATGACTGAGACAGACAGAACTCTGGCCTGTGCTTCAGCAAAGAGTTAAGCTAGAGGTCCAGGAAAAAGGGGAGTGTAATTAGTCAAACAAAATAGTTCCTCATAAACCCTCCTTGTCTGTTACATTGCAAGAGATCAGGGTTACAATACAAATGTGCTTATGGCAGAAGAATCAGTGCAATAAATAATTGTTCATTAATTGCTGTCAGTGTCTTCTGTGCTACTCAAAATAAACAGAAAGACATGATCAACATCCCAGGGGCTTTAGTTTCAAAGGCATGATTCTGATCCCACTAAAATCAATCATAAAAGTCTTGCCCTTGACTTAAGTGGAAGTAGGATCTGGTTATACATTAGATAATGCAGTTCCGTACAAACACATAATACACTAGTAGACTAGAAAAATCCCTAGATATTGCAGATGTCAGGGTTTTCTTGTAATGTTACACACTTATTTTATTGGGATATATTTACAGGTTTCCCAGAAGAATAAATTTGAATGCTCTTTTAGGTAAAGATAGTAACAAATAAAAACCGAAAATGAGATATGGCAAAGAAGATTTAAGGTATCAATATAGTGCATTGAAAGAAAATCAGACAAGTTGAAAGCAAGAAAATATTTAAAATAAATAAATCTGGGACTAAAAATGAAGATATGTAGAAAGAAATAACACTGGAATTAGCTAACTGTAAGGCTGCAAAACAATGAGAGAAATAAGGAAAATTCCAATATTATGAAATATTGAACAGCAAGGTACAAGTTCATGTTGGTCACAGATTGTGACTATTACTGCAGCAAGAAATAAGAGAGATGATTAGAAAGCAAACTGAGTTATCAAGAGATATCCTCAGGCAGATAAAGAAAACAAACACTGATGGCAAGTCTGAAATTGTTGTTGCAATACTTCAAGATGAGGGACCAGAGGCAATGAACTAACTTTGCTACAACAGTAATACAATGAGGACATACAATAAAATTATAAACTGTTCCTGAAAATCCTACTGCATAAGAAATTGACACAATAATGCAAGAATTCATGAGGCATTATTAACTGCACCTGGACTTAGCAATTATTTATCAAAATGCTCCTCATATGTGGAAACAATGTAATAAAATCTGCAGGTTTTCTAGAATAAGCCAGAACTATCTCATAATGCTTTATATACTATAAAGGTCTGTAGATGCAGAAAATACAGGAAGGATTTATATGGAAAAACTAATTAAAAATACAATTTTACTTCTTCCTCATTTTCAAGTTTCATTTGAAGTTAACTCTTTGTAATTTTAGGGAATATAAAATTTCTATTTATGTGTTTGGGGCAAGATTTTCAAAAGTGACTGACCTATCCTAATTTGTGGCTGTTCAACTTGAGATACATTAAAACAACCTGATTTTCAAAATGTGCTCAGCCCTTTCTGCAGTATTTTTTCACACAACGCACAGTCAACCTGTGGAACTCCTTGCCAGAAGATGTTGTGAAGGCCAAGACTATAACAGGATTCAGAAAAGAACTAAATAAATTTGTGGAGGATAGGTCCATCAATGGCTATTAGCCGGGATGGGCAGCCTCTGTTTGCCAGAAACCGGGAATGGGTGAAAGGGGATGGATCACTTGATGATTATCTGTTCTGTTCATTCCCTCTGGGGCACCTGCATTGGCCACTGTCAGAAGACAGGGTACTGGGCTAGATGGACCTTTGGTCTGACCCAGTATGGCTATTCTTATGTTCTTATGTAATCAGACGCCATTAAGGCTTCCAGGGTTGAGACCTAAAAATTAAAATACCGCAAATCATTTGTCTGTTTTCAATATCTTGGCATTGGTACATGCCTGGTTTAGAATCAGGGCACCTAGTATCTACCCAGTCTTCCTTGTGTTTCTCTCCTAACTTATCTTTCATTATTGTAAGTACATGTCATGCACACTGTAGAGCTCATATGGCTTGTTTCTTGTTTCCCTGGTGATTTTCTAGTTTTAGTAAATCCCCATGATCTTTCAGAGTACAGATTATTGCACAACTTTTAATGAGACACGTTCTGTTGCTAAGATGCTTTCATTTCATCCCTTTATTATCTGTTTATTTTAGAATTTGTTTTTAATAGAGTTGTATGAAATATTCATAATCGAATTTGGAATTATTAAAATTTGAACATTTATTGTTGCCATTTCAAAACTATGTATTCTCTCTAAATATCAATACTAAAATGGGATTATTTTTGTGGAAGTGGTCCCACTTTAAGCAAAATTATTTTCATTGTGAAAACATGAAATGTCACAGTTTTGAATAGTTTCTCAGCCAAATTGTAATTTTAGAAATATTTTAGGGGGTGAAAAATATCTGTGAAACAGAATTATGAAAAATGTCTCACAGTTTTTTCTGCAATTGCACACAGTTGTAGTTTCTAATTTCAAACCACAGCCCAGATCCTTCAAACAATATACAGTACTCACATTAGAAAAGTTATGCACTTGTGAAATCATTTGCAAGATTGGGTTCTGAGTCCCCCTAAAAGTTCACTACTTTCTGCTAGTGGTTTCACCACTAACTGGTGTCTTGCATAGTATAATATATATACACTTCATCAACATATATTCAAAATCTGCTACATACAGTATCACTCCTTCATTTGTACACTGTCTGAGGAAATGTACGGAGGATACAATCACCTTTTCATCTGTTTTACGACCTGACCATTTCAAATAGCTCCAGGAGTTGATAATCCATTTGGTACAGGGTCTGGACCTGAAAACTTCAACTTTTAAGGAAAAGACACCACAGAAGTTCAACATCATTGAGTTCAAAGAGGGAGTAGGGGTGAGAGAGAGCGAGAAAGAGACAGAGAGACAGACAGAGACTTCTCATTAATGATGGCCTACTGGTTCTAGCTAAAAGCAACAGAGGGTCCTGTTGCACCTTTAAGACTAACAGAAGTATTGGGAGCATAAGCTTTTGTGGGTAAGAACCTCACTTCTGTTAGTCTTCTTCAGACTTGCATCTGAAGAAGGGAGGTTCTTACCCACGAAAGCTTATGCTCCCAATACTTCTGTTAGTCTTCTTCAGACTTGCATCTGAAGAAGGGAGGTT